TCCTTTTTAGATTGTAAGCCCTCAGGGGCAGGGCCCTCCTTACCATCTTGTCTTGAATTGTATTGTGATTGTAATGTCTTCCTTATATTGTAAAGCGCTGCGCAAACTGTTGGCGCCATATAAATCCTGTATAATAATAATAATAATGTATTTATCTATTATAGCTATTTATATGGCACCAGCAATTTACACAGCGCACATTTACATCAGTCCCTGCCCTCAAGGAGCTTACAATCTAAGGTCCCTATTGCACACAGAGCCAATTTAACCATCTAGCATGTCTTTGGAGTGTAGGAGGAAATCGGAGTACCCAGAGAACATGCAAACTCCATGCAGATAGTGTCCTGATCAGGATTTGAACTGGGACCCGCCCCGTGCTGCAAGGCAGAAGTGCCAGCTACTAGCCACTGTGAGATAGTCATGATCTTTGCTTTCTCTATTAAAACACAGATGTATGATGGGCGTAGTAAGGGAAATGTCTTTTATCTAAAAGTCCCTTCTTGACCTTTTAAGAAAGTTAGAGAAAGCACGTCGCTGGGTCTTTGCTCCATCTGCATAAAGCAGTCAGAGTTGGGTGAAAGTTGGGTATTTAAAGCATTTTTGCATTCGTCGCAGCTGGCACATAGTGACTACTTCAATTACCATGACAACTGACAGTGAGCTATTGCGGTCCGACAGCCAGGCAGATGAATGAATTGGACTCACTTTAGACAGGATCACAGCTGCCCTGTGCACCGCATTTCCCAGGGGGTGCGAGAGATAAGCACACACTGTTCCATGCCTTTGCATGCCGTGCTGCTTGTCTGCCTCCAATAATCTCCCCCTTTAACTCTATCCGTGATACAGCAAATGGTACAAGGTGATGTGGCCTCTGACAATCCTCAGGTCCCTGCATGTCCTAGGAGCCGAAGTTAACCATTCTCAAGGGTTCTGATCATTGGGAATGATTGGATACTTGAAAGGTTTACGCCTGACATGCACAAGCACAGCAACGCTTATGGTGACAGTCTGTTCGCTTTGAACCATGCCGCTGCGCTTATCTCTGCGGTAATGATAAATCTCAGCGGGGGAATCGTATAAAAAAAACCCAGACGTAGATTTTTTTTCTTTTTGATGATGGAAAGATGTCTACTGCAGACATTTGTTGTGCAAATGCTAACTTTAGGAGCTGCGGTTATCATTCGGAATTCGCACTCCTTGTATTGTTTTTTTTTTTTAGTTATCATGACTCTGACTGTAACTCAGCGGTGTTTGTTAACCCCTTTACAGCAGGGTGGTACCAATGTTCTATCTTCCAGTGTAATTGCAGCCAGGCTATGGACATTTATATAATTGCATATGATTAACAAGCAGTAAATGAGCACTCACTGACCTCTGTAGCTGCAGGTACAGTGTATTAATTTATCTTCGAAGTTCACAGCAGAAGCACTGATTTTGTTCTCAGCATTTGAGCTTCTCCTGCTCTCCCTTTCCACCAGTGAGTCAGCAGCTTAGTTCACCATGTCTCCCCTCCTCCCAAAAGTGACCCAGCTCAGCCTACCCTGTTCCCTCCCTCTCAGCAGCGGCTCCGCAGCTTAGTTGACCCTGCTCCCTCTCCCAGCAGTCACTCAGCAGCTTAGTTGACCCTGCTCCCTCTCCCAGCAGTCACTCAGCAGCTCAGCTGACCCTGTTCCCTCCCTCTCAGCAGCGGCTCAGCAGCTGATCCCCCTTCCAGCACTGACTGAGTAGCCTTGCTCCCTTTCCCAGCAGTACCAGCAGTGGCTCAGCAGCTAATTTGACCCTGCTCCCTCTTACAGCAGTGACTCAGTAGCCTTCTAATCTCTAATTTTAACACAGAGCATGAGCTATGAG